TTGGTTAAGCGGCTGCCTTCGGCTCAGGTCATGATCCCGGGGTCCCGGGATGGAGTCCCGCATCGGGCTCCCTGCTCAGCTGAGAGCCTGCTTCTTCCTCTCCTTCTGCCTGCCGCTCTGCCTACATGTGCTATCTCTCTGTCAAATAAATAAATAAAATCTTAAAAAAAAAAAAGGTGAAAAAAAAGTCCACACCATCCTGGTTCCCTTTATTCTCCTCTGATTTTTCTTTTTCCATAGCATTTATGATCTCTGAATATGCTATGTGTTTTTCTTATTTAATATGGTTTTTGGGTTTTTTTAGTCTTCGCCCACTAGACTGTAGGCTCCATAAGGGCAGCAATTTTCGTATTTTGTTCACTTGTTCTTGCTCTCCCATAGGTCTCTGCAAGAAGTATCACCTTAGCTATGAGGACTTCCCTACTATTCCTATGCCCCAACTCTTAATAACAACCTATCCTCTACTTTCTTTCTTTCTATAAGACTTATTACCATCTGATGAACTAGACATTTAACTTGCCTATTTTTTTAATGGGATGGCTTCCAAATGCTAATGTAAGTTCCATGAAGAAAGGGCTTATTTTTATTTGTTTTGTGTGTTTTGTTAACTGCTATAACCCCAGCCTACTGAACATAACCTGGGACATAATGAGTGCTCAGTAAAAACATGTTAAGTGGGGGCACCTGGGTGGCTCAGTTGTTGAGCATCCACCTTCGGCTCAGGTCATGATCCCAGGGTCCTGGGATCGAGCCCCACATCGGGCTCCCTGCTCGGCGGGAAGCCTGCTTCTCCCTCTCCCACTCCCCCTGCTTGTGTTCCCTCTCTCGCTGTGTCTCTCTGTCAAATAAATCTTAAAACATGTTAAGTGAACAAATAAATAGTCTTTAACATATTTAAGTAGTTTTTTCCTATTCCTTCTTAAATTTTTATCATGAATGACAACTGAATTTTACCAAGAGCCTTTCAGTATTAAATAATATGATCATTTGGTTTTAATTTTTTGATGTAATGAACTGTGTTAATAGATTTTTCTGATATGAACCATTCTTTCATTTTTGAAATAAAAGTTATTTGGTCATAAAAGCTTATCAATCTTTAATACACTGCTGAATTCTGCTAATATTTTACTTATGACTTTATTATTTATGATTTTGGCATCAATATGGATAAGTAAATTCTGGTTTTCTTTTCTGTAACTTCTATTGGGTTCTGTTGTTAAGTCATGTTTTCATAAAATGAACAGAGGAGTTTTCCATCTTTTTCTATTACCTAAACTAGTTTAAACAGCACCAGACTCATGTGTTAGAAGTAATTCAATTTTGAATCATCTACACCTTTTTAAATGTTCTCTCTTGACTAAGATTGACCTTTTCAATCTCTTTGATGCTAATCAATGTATTTAAGTTCTCTATCATGAAAAATTAGCTATTATCTCTGGGCTTTCGATTTATTACGAAGATACCTTTACATAGTATTCACACATAATTCTTTTAATTTCTTTTATATCTGTATTATTTTTCCTTTTTCATCCTTTAGCTGATACACATTTGCTCTCTCATACCTTCATCGATATTGCAAAGGGTTTACCTTTTCACTGATCATCTCAATTATCAATTTTCATTTTTATTTATCCTTCCTACTATTTTTCTCTATTTTAGTATTTTCAGTTTTATCTGCATTGACTTTAGGATCCAAGACTATCACGGTAGTACCCCCTTATCCACCAGGGATAATTCCAAGACCCTCAGTGGATGCATGAAAACACAGATTGTACCAAGCCATTTATAGTGGTTTTTTTTTTTAACCTATGGTAAAGTTTAATTTATAAATTAGTAACAATAAGAGACTAACAATAATAAAAAACAGAACAGTTATAACAATATATATATGTAAAAGTTATGTAAACACGGTCTCTCTCTCTCTCAAAATACCTGATTGTTCTGTATTAATGGTTTTAAGGTAAGATGCCTATGTGATGAGAAAGTGAGGTGAATGATATAGGCACTGTGACACAGCATCAGGCTACTACTGACCTTCTGATATGTCAGAATGATTATCGGCTTCCAGACTGTGACTGACGGTGGGTGACTGAAACTGGTGGAAAGCAAAACTACTGACAAGGGTGGGCACTACTGTACTCCTTTGTGTACGGTATCATAACAATGTCCTAAATTCCCATATAATTTGGGTCTACTTCTAATCCTATTCTTTACCACTTATCAAGACAGATTCATATGCAAGAAGATTTTATTATTTAAGTACTAAGGAGGGTCTCATTAGAAAGGGTAATGGGCCTAAATAGCAGCATTAAACTGGAGGTTTCAGAAGTATGGTCAGTTGAAGGCTAAACTAAGTAGCTATGTAATATAGGCTCAGTGCAACATGTATAATGTGTGTAGGCATTCCTATCCCACCCCCACTCTCAATATATGTTCCATAAGCTCAGGAATTTGTGTCTCGTTTGCCGTTCTATCTCAAGTGCTTACAATGATGCTAGGGACATAACAGAAGGTCAATAAATATTTGTTGAATAAATGAATAAACTGGAGAAATCTTGTTTCTGATTCTTCAGATGAACTCAACATTTCTAGGTTTAGATTAATAATTCACATAAGGTGAAGAAAAAAATATAAAAATCTCTCTTCTCCCCTGATGACCCTTCCCCTTCCCCGAGCCTGGCCATGGGCCAGTCCTTGTTCGTTCTGTCCTTGAACATTCTGGGATGAAAGCAGCTCTGTTGTGGTTTTGTCTCTGGTTGTTGTATTTTCTCTATGCAGCCACATCTTGGTGTTTGGCCAGACTTGCATTCTTTGCAAGGAACAGATTTCATTTCTTGAACGTTCACTTACTTGCTCATTCTACTTTGGTCCTCCAGTGTGAAATGAAAGAACAAGCTAGTTAAATGCTGGTAATAATTGCCCTTAGCCCATTCCGGACTTTAAGATTTACGTTATGTATGGGGCACCTGAGTGGCTCATACAGTTTCATCTCTTTTCTCTATTTTGTGAGACACTGTTCTCATATTTTGCTCTATTTTTTATTTTTATTTTTAAAAAACTGTATATATTTACAATGCGTACAATGTGATGTTTAAATACACACATCATTGTGAAATAATAGGTAAAGCTAATGAACATATAAATCACCTTTTTGTGTGTGTGGTAAATATACATAAGATCCACTCTCTTCATACTTTTTGTGAGTCCTTTAAGTTAGTTAAGCATCTGCCTTTGGCTCAGGTCATGATCCCGGGGTCCTGAGATGGGGCCACATTGGGCTCCCTGCTCAGCAGGGAGTCTGCTTCTTCCTCTCCCTCTGCCTCTCCCCTGCTTGTGCTTTCTCTCTCTCTAATAAATAAATAAAAGTAAAAAAAAAAGATTAACATATATGACCAAATATTTAAATATTACCCTAAAGTCAAATAGGGTAATCATCAGATTCATTATCTAGGTTTATATTTTTATGTCAAAGGTAAATTATGTTAACATATTATACCTTAAGACTTTTACACGTTTTATTTATTTATTTATTTATTTATTTATTTATTTATTTATTTATTTGACAGAGAGAGAAAGAGATAGAGAGAGCACAAGCAGGGGGAGTGGCAGGCAGAGGGAGAGGGAGAGGGAGAAGCAGGCTGCCTGCTGAGCAAGGAGCCCGACGTGGGGCTCGATCCCAGGACCCTGGGATCATGACCTGAGCTGAAGGCAGACGCTTAACGAACTGAGCCACCCAGGCGCCCCAAAGACTTTTAGCAGTCATAAATAATGAAACTGTGTTGAATTTCCTTCCACATGATCTAATTATATACTATTATTTATCCCAGATTTGAACAACACTGACAGAATAAAGATATATATTTCAAGATCTTTATCTTACATAATATAAAGTACAGAGCTTCAATAGCAACTTTTTTTCAGCATTTAATTCAAAAAAATATATTTTTTAAGATTTTTATTTATTTGACACAGAGAGATAGAGCACAAGGAAGGGGAGCAGCAGAGGGAGAGGGAGAAGCAGGCTCCCCGCCGAGCAGGGCGCCCGACGCGGAGCTCGATCCCAGGACCCCGGGATCATGACCTGAGCAGAAGGCAGACGCTTAATGACTGAGCCACCCAGGCGCCCCTTAATTCAAATTTTTAAGTATATACTCATGTAACCACCATCTAGAACAAGACAGGGAACGTGCTCAGCCTCTAAACTGGCTCCTTTATGCTGCATCCCAGTTAGTACCCATAAGAAAACCAGTATTCTAATAATTACACAGATCACTTTTACCCATTTTTGAACTTCATATAAATGGGAAATTACATTATACACTCTTTTGTGTCTGGCTTTTTATGCAAAGCATATTTGTGAGATTCAACATGTGTGTATCAGCAGTTTGCTCCTTTTTATTGCTCACTGTATAAATATACCACATTATCTGTTCCCATGTTGATGGGCATTCAGATTTGCTTCCAACTTTTAGAATAGTTATAATACTTATATAATAAGTTATTAATAGTGCTGCCATAAATATTATAGGTTTTTCATGTAATTTTCTTAAATCTATAACTTCTGTTTTATATATACCCAGGAGTGGACTTGATGGGTCAGAAGGTAGGCATGTTTTGCTAAGCAGCTATAACAAATAATTTCCCAAGTGTCATATGTTTACACTCCCACCAACATTAAGAATTCTGGTTGTTTCACATCCTTGCCAATACTCTGTATTGTCCATCCATTTAATATTAACCATTCTGGTGCACATGTAGGGGTATCTCACTATAGTTTTAATTTGTATTTCCTGTAATAAGCCCACTCTTTTATTTACTTATTTAAGTAGAATTAGAATGGTGAAAAGATCTCACCTCATTAATCTATTCAAAAATTATATGCTGAATGAAGGAAGACTGCTGAATGCAGGACTCCTGACAGATGGAGAAGACAGAAGTGTCGTTTTATCTTTTCTCTCTTGAAGCAAGTGATCTTCGGAAGACTTCCTTTTTCTATGGACCATCTTGGCCAGTGCTGAGTCAACCTATGTAGTTGACTTCACCCATGTTCTTTAATTTTTATATAGATTCAAATCTAGTGTTCTTTCATCCCATCCTGAAGGACTCCCTTTAGCATTTGTGTAGGCAGACCTACTGCTGACGAATTCTCTCACTTTTTATTTGTAAAGATTGTCTCATTTCTTCTTCATTTTTGAAGGACAGTTTTGGCAGATATAGAATTCTAAGTTGAGTTCTGCCCTTCAGCACTGTGAATATGTCATCTCATGCATTCTGGAATCCATGGTTTCTAATGAAAAAGGCAGCTGTTACTCTTATTGAGGACCCCTTGTATGGCATGAGTCCTTTTCTCCTTCTGCTTTAAAGATTTTGTCTTTTGAAGTTTGATTATGATGTGTCTAGGTGTGGATCTCTGGTTTTATCCTACTTGGGGGTTCAGTGAATTTTGTGGATGTGTTAGATACATGTTTTTCATTAAAATTGGGGTTTTTGCCATTATTTCTTCAAATATTCTTTCTGCTAATTCAGTATCTCTTCTCATTGTAAGATTCCTGTTATATGTATGTTAGTACACTTGATGGTATCTCACAAGTTCTGTATATATATATTTTTCTGTTCTTCAGATTGGATAATAGCAATTAACTTATCTGCAAGTTTGTTGATTTCTTTCAGTTCAAGTCTCTTGGACCTGATGAAAGAATTTTTCATCTTACTTATTGTCAACTCCAGAATTCCTATCTGGTTTCATACAGTTTCATCTCTTTATTCTCTATTTTGTGAGACACTGTTCTCATACTTTGCCCTATTTTTTATTTTTATTTTTAAAAAATTGTATATATTTACAATGTGTACAATGTGATGTTTAAATACACACATCATTGTGAAATAATAGGTACAGTAAAGCTAATGAACATATAAATCATCTTTTTGTGTATGTGGTAAATATACATAAGATCCACTCTCTTCATACTTTTTGTGAATTCTTACATCTAAAGTGAGTCTTTTGTAACTCCCACTGCTCCCCCAACTAAAAAAATTACTGGATTTTTTTTTTTAATCCATTCAGCCACTAAAGCTGAATAAATACTGAATGATTGGTGAGTTTAAACGCTTTATATTTAAATTCTTTTTTTTTTTAAAGTAATCATTACAAGCAACACGGGCCTCAAACTCACAACCCTGAGACCAAGAGTCACATGCTCTTCCGACTGAACCATCTAGATGTCCCTAAAGTAATTTTTTTAAAGATTTTATTTATTTATTTATTTTTAGAGCCGAGAGGTCTCACATTTATTACTGAACCAACCTACTGGTGCAGAGGCACAGTCACAGAGAAAAATCATTTCCATGATAAGACAAGTCTATGGCCAGGTAGGAAGGATGTTTACAGAATGATAGAACACATGATCTTCATGCAGCTTAATTAAATGTGTGCCAATTAAGTGTGTCATCTCATGATGTGTGACGCCTTATAGACCCAGCTTGGTTCTTCTCCAGTGCCTCCTTTTGGAGTTGTACCTGATCTTATTACCAGTTTTCATCCGAATCCACTGGGGAATGGAACGATTCTGCTTTTGTTTCTTGGCCAGGAATCGCTTGATTCTGAAAGTCTTGTGAGAAGACATGGCGAGAAGCAGCCAGCCACGCAGAGCAGGATGGCGGTGAAAAAGAGAGCAAGATTTTATTTATTTTTTGACAGAGAGAGAGAGGGAACACAAGCAGGGGGAGTGGGAAAGGGAGAAGCAGGCTCCCTGCTGAGCAGGGAGCCCGAAGCGGGGCTCGATCCCAGGACCCTGGGATCATGACCTGAGCCGAAAGCAGCTGCTTAATGACTGAGCCACCCAGGCGCAAGTAATTCTTGATAAGTGAGAGCTTACTGCTATTTTTTGCTGTTTTGCTACTGTTTTGTTTCCCTCTTCATCTCTTGCTGTCTTCTTTTGTTTCTCGATGATTTTATGTAATGGTTTCCTTTGATTCTTTTTCTTTTTCTCTTCTAAATATCTATGATAGTTTTTTATTTTCTTTGTGGTTACAAGGATTCCATAAAATATCTTGTAGTTACAATTTTCTGTTTTAGGTTGACAACAACTTAATTTCAATTACATACAAAAATTCTACACTCCCCTTCATACATACTTTGTTTTTTTATAGTCAGAGTTTGCATCTTTCTATGTGTATCAATTAACAAACTTTTGTGATTACAATTATTCTTAATGTTTTTGTCTTTTAACTTTTACATTAGGGTTAAAAGTAATTTATATACCACCATTACAATATTACATTGATTATATATTTACCTTTACCCATGAGATTTATGTTTTCATATGGCTGTCTAGCTTGTTTTCATTTCAAGTGGAAGAACTCCCTAAGCATTTTCTCGTAATGCAGGTCTAATGGTGATGAACTCCCTCGGTTTTTGTCTGGGAAAAACTTTACCTCTTTTTCATTTAAAAGGATAATTTTGCCTGACACTGAGTTCTTGTTAGGCAGTTTTTTTCTCCCAGAATTTTGAATATATCATCCCACCCTTTCCTGGCCTGGTAAGTTTCTGCTGAGAAATCTACTGATATTCTTCTGGGGTTCCCTTATTAAGTGGTGACCACTTTTCTCCTGATGCTTTCAGAGTTCTCTTTGTCCTTTAATTTTTTTTGCTTTATTTTACTTTTTAATGGAGATATAATTGACATAACATTGTGTAAGTCTAAGATATACAATGTCCTTGACTTTTGGTAATTTGATTATGATATGTCTCAGTGTAGTTTTCTTTGGGTTGATCCCAATGTGGAAACTTCCGAGCTTTGTGAATCTGGGTATCAATTTCCCCTCACATGATTTGGGAAATTTTCAGCCATTATTTCTTAAATAAGCTTTCTGTCCCCTTCCTCTCCTTCCTCTCCTTCCGGGACCCCCCCCCCCCATAATGCATATATGGTTTTGTTTGATGGCAGCCCATGAATCCCATAGGTTTCTTCATTCTTTATTCTCTGGGTAATTTCAAATACTGTATCCTTGAGTTTTCTTCTCCTTATTTGAGTCTGCTTATTTGAACCTGAGGTTAAAGCTCTCTATTGTATTATTTCACACAATGTATTCTTTAGCTCCAGAATTTGACTTTTTTTTAACGATTTCTATCTTTTTGTTGAACTCTTTGTTTTCTTCATATATTGCTGTCATGATTTTGTTGATTCTATCTATATTCTCTTGTAGCCCATGAGTTTCTTAAAAACAATTATTTTTAATTCTCTGGCAATTCATAGATCTCCATTTGTGGGGTATCAGTTACTGAAGTTATTGTGTTCCTCCTGGTGGTTTCATGTGCCCTTTTTTTGTGTGTGTTCCTTAGCCTTGCATTGCTGTATTTGCATCTGAAGAAGCAGTAACCCCTTCCAACCTTCATGGACTGGCTTAGTTAGGGAAAGATGTCCTCTAAGAAAAGATGTGAGGTCATCAGCTGGGTGAGGTGTATAGCAGCTCCAAGTCCAGATGTGGAGGTGTGCCAGTTCCAGGGCAAATGAGGGCAGTTGGTCATCCAGTTGCATGTGTGCAGCCATGGCAAGCACCTGGCCCCATGGATGTACATGAGCAACTATGGTGGGCTCATAATTCCTTGGACACATGGATGTGTGTTCAGTGGTGCCTGTATGTGTTGGGAGCTATATGCTCAGGCTTGCACATCAAGGGGGGCACTGGGGCTGGTAAGGGAGAGTGACAGCTCCAACTCGTGGGTGGGAGGGGCAGCATTTGGCGGCTCTGGTTCCAAGGGATGCAGCACCTCTGTCATGAGGAAGCTCTAGCAGCTGGGGTCTGCATCAGGAAAGAACACAGGAGTCCTCTGCAGCAGTAACTACAGCTGCTGAATTCCCTCGCTGTTCTTCTTCCCCAATTAGGGGAATTCATGGCCAAGGGAATTCCCTGTGACACTTTGCTGGCCTGAGGGATAGATAGGGCAACATAGGCAGAATGCTTCCTATCCCATTTATGCAGTCATCTCCAGTTCTCTGCACTCCTCTGGTTCACTGCAGCCCCCGAACTGTAGCCCGTCGTTTTCCCAGAATTCTCCTCATCTGTGATAGTTGACTTTATCATTATTTTTGTGCAGGGGTGAGGGCTGGGATCTCCTAGTCTGCCATCTTGGTGACATTACCCTCCCTCATAACTTTGCCTTAGTTCTTTAGACATGGTTTGATTCCTTGGGGAACTATTTAAAATAGCTGATTTAAAGTATTTGTCTAGAAAGTGTAGTATCTAGGCTTCCTCAAGGAAGTTTCTATTGATGATTTTCCCATTTATTTGTATGCCTCATAATTTTTTGTTGAAAACTGGACATTTTGAATATTATACTGTGGCATATCTGCAAATCAGATTCTCTCTCTTCCAGAGTTTCTCTTCACTGCTGCTTATCATAGTAGTTATTTGTTTAGAGACTCTTCAAAATAAATTTTGTAAAGTCTGTATTCTTTGTTGTATGTAGCCATTGATCTCTGTTCTGTTAGCTTAGGGGTCAGCTAATAACTGGACAGTTTTCTTTAAATCCCTAGAACCAAAAATCTCCCAATCATTATGGAGGACTCTGTGGGTTCAGGGTATACTTTAAACGCTAAGCCAGGCAATTCACAACTCTGTCTTAGCCTTCACTTCCTGCTTCCACAGACCTTCAAGACTGGCCAGAGGTGAGAGCTTAGGGCCCTCTTTGGTCTTCTCTAGGCATGCACACAGTCCTGCCCAAGTACACGGCTTTCTATATTTCTAGGAATATGTTGGGAGTTTTCCAAGCCTTATGGACATCTAATTCTAGGCTTTTTTATCTATTGTGTGACCCAAGTATTTTCTATTGCCTCAGGCAGCAGTAATAAAATTATTTGCTTGTAAATATTTTTGACAAATGCTGCTCTTCCTGCTCCCAGCAGCTTTAGCACTTGGCCAGTTGTGAGTCAGAAGAAATAAAGACAAGGGTTTTGAGTCAGTCTTCCAGGGAGCCTCCAACCAAGGCAAAACAAGTAATTATAGATCTTTGAGAATTAGGTCTGTTTTCTCAAATACCGAGAACACAGGCTGTTATTTTAGGCTCAGCAGATCTGGGGGACAGGAAATCGAACTAGGGTAAATTGAATAGCCACAAAGCTCACTCTTCTTACTGAAATTCAGCTACTTTTCATGAATAAGTATTTCCCTTAGTTGTTGCAAACCTTTGGTTAATTACCAGAGTTCTGAAAAGTTGATTCTAACAGTCTGCCAGTTTTTCTATGCTTTTACTGGAAGAACTAAATTTCAGATTTCTTGATTCTGCCATTTTTGCTGATGTCATCTCAAAATAAAACTTTTATTTTTTTTAATTTTTAATTTTTTAAAGATTTTACTTATTTGACAGAGAGAGAGACAGCAAGAGAGGGAACACACGCAGGGGGAGTGGGAGAGGGAGAAACAGGCTTCCCACGGAGCAGGGAGCCTGATGCAGGGCTTGATCCCAGGACCTTGGGATCATGACCTGAGCCAAAGGCAGACATTTAATGACTGAGCCACCCAGGCACCCTCAAAATAAAACTTTTAAAGATACTTAAAATGCATGACTCCCAGTTTCCCAGTAACTCACTTTATCAAAATTTGTTGACAGTTTATATAGTTGTGTGGCTACAGGGATAACTAAGGCAAACTGTTTCCACTCAAGTAACATGAATTCAACAATATCAGATGCCACGTGAAATTATGAATAATTATGACACTGGAGCAGAGTCCGGAAAGCTGCAATTTTAGTAAGTGTCTCAGGTAGTTCTGATACTGGTAGTCTGGCTTGGAGAAAAATTGCCTTAGGTTTTTTTTTTTGGCTTCTGCATCCTAAGATGGTATACTGATAAACATAAGCATATGTAAGCATAAGTGTATTATAAAGACCTAGCCATAAAACTGGGCAATCAGGACAGGAGAGAGTAGTACAGAAAACAGAATATACTCACTGCGAGAGGGAGAAGAGGGAATGAGGGAGCCTGCTTTTTGCATCTGTGCACAATCAGTGTTGATGTTAGTTTTGTCAATACTCAAACAAGCCTTGAAAGGGTTCAGAAATTACTGCCTTAGAGAAACCTTCCTTGACCTCTATCTAAATTGGCAAACCCACTTCTACTCCAGGATGTATTTTTTCTTTTTAATTTTTTAGTAAGGATAATATTTTTAAATACCTTCCAACCTGTGTTTCCTTGTCAGGAAGCCAGTTACTCTTTCCCTGTATCATACTTGCCATTTTGCCTTAAGAAAAGTGGCATAGGAAATGGAAAGCCTGCCCTGAGCAGGCTCCTGGTATACTGTTGAAAGGACAAGGGAACAATGGGAAGGAAAAAGCAGTAACACTCGTCGATACCGACCTCCTTCCTCCAGGATAAAATTCTAAAGAAGTAAAGACATGCTAAATAGGTTGAAGAAAAAGCTAAAAAGAGAGGGACTTTGATTCATTTCCCAGTTGGGGTTCTAAGAGGAGACTGCTATGTAGGATGCCCTTCTTAATAAACCAGGGAGCATTACATGATCAGTATAAAAGATGAGGAATTTA